TGTGCCGCGTTCAGTGCGCGAGCAACCCCTAGCGGAGGAGATGTAGAATCTGAATGGTACATGTATAATCTACATGTTAGATGTAGAATATACATAATATATGTAGATGTAGATAACAGATGTAGCAAAAAAATGTAAAATGTAAAATTTTTTTTTTTAATGCTAAAACTCTAAAATATCATATGTTCAAAAATGTAAATACTGACTGAGTACGGGTATAAGTAGAGTCGCGTCTTTAGAAGCGACTCACACGTTCCTTCTCGTTTTTTATATATTTAACTCCAAATGCACTATTTCAACTAATGACCAACCACTGTCTCGTTCTTGAAACTCACTCATTTAATTTTTTATATAATCATATAAATTATTTATTATTTCATTTAGTTTTTCATCACCATCATCACACATTGTTGTTGGGTGTAAAGTGTCCATTTTCGTTTGAAATGATTTAAGGTTGAGTTGACATTGATCTTGACTTTCTTTAATTAAAACATAATTGCAAAATTGTTCAAAATTAAACTTTATACTAATGTGCTTTTGTAGTACGTCTTTTATTAATTGTTTCACTTGTTTATTGATTAATTGATGAAATAAGGTAATATCCAAACATTGTTTATAGGATTTTCAACTATATACATACGTTTCAATGCGATTACGAAACGCACTTCTTACACATCTTATGTTACACTAGTCAACACGATTTTTCCTCAAGGAACAAAACGAACTTTTTCTTAAAGATTTGGGGCTTAGAAATGGTTTGATGATATTTTTTTTTTCTATGGCAGAACTTTTTTTTAAAGAATTTTTGAAAACTGGTATTTTTTTTTAAGCTTTTTTCAGAGGTAGCGCTTGTTTTTTTCACATAACTCTAGTATCTTACGTCTGGTTGTAAAGAACTTTGCTATTTTGAAAAGATAATTAAAACAGCTAGAAGTCAAGCCCAACCACTTTGTAATTACAGCTTAACGTCTGGGAAATATAAAGCATTGAAATGCAAAAATGATGATTTTTGTGCGGTATTTTTTACGAAATTTTGACTTTAAAAACTCAGGAAAAGTCGAAAAAAAATTATATCCTGTGTCCTCTATTTTTTTTGTGTATAGGTGCATTAATTTGGCTTCGTTCAAGGTATCGCTCATTAAAATCTATGGAGAGACTTTGGAGCTAAAATTCGTTAACCAAACCTAAAATATGGAAAAAATGAACAAAAAATACCTTTCAAAGGTTAAGCCCAATTCCCATGGGGAATGCAAATCAGGTACCAAAATAGAACCCTTTTTTGTTTGCTTTGCCAATTGGCAGTTGGGCCGAACCTTCCAAAAGGTATTTTTTGTTAAATTTATTCATTTTTTAGGTTTGGTGAACGAATTTTAGCTCCAAAGTCTCTCATAGATTTTAATGAGCGATACCTTAAACGACGACAAATTAATGCACCTGTACACGAAAAAATAGAGGACACAAAATATAATTTTTTTGTGTTTTTTAGTTCTTAAAGTCAAAATTTCGTAAAAAATACCGCACAAAAATCATCATTTTTGCATTTCAATGCTTTTTTTTTCCAGACGGTAAGCTGAAATCACAGTGTTTAACAAGCGCTACCTCTGAAAAAAGCTTAAAAAAATAACAGTTTTCAAAAATTCTTAAAAAAAACTTCTGCCACAGAAAAAAACGAGAAGGAACATATGAGTCGTTTCTGGGGACACGACTCTACTTATACCCGTACTCAGTCAGTATATACATTGTTGAGCTTATAATTTTTTAGAATTTTAAAAAAAAAAAAATTTTACATTTTACATTTTTTTGCTACATCTGTATTTACATCTCATCTACAATGTCTATTCTACATCTAACATGTAGATTGTACATGTTCCATTCATATTCTCATCTCCTCCGCTAGGGGTTGCTCGCGCACTGTACGCGGCAGCATGTGAGCGAGAAGGAAAATGAGTTGCGTTGTCGTTTGCTGGAGAGGGAAGGGGAAGCAACTGAAAATTAATTTCTTCATTCTGGCTATAATTATGATCCGATCTGATTCAGATTCGGCAATCTGGTAGATATGGGCATTCTCTACGATTTTGCATTTTTAGTTTTATCGTATCTTTAAAACTGTGCCTGCCACAGATTTTCGTCCTTTGTGTGGGCGGAAGGGGGCGTGGCGAAATTTTGAAATACACTTGTAGCTGTGGGATATCACATGAGTCTGGAAACCAAATTTGGTTGCCCTAGCTCTTATAGTTTCTGAGATCTAGACAGACAGACAGACGGACAGACAGACATGGCTATATCGACTCGGCTATTGATGCTGATCAAGAATGTATATACTTTTGGGGTCGGAAACGTTTCCTTCTCTGCGTTACACACATCCACTTTTACCACAAATCTAATATACCCCTTAACTCTTTTTTGAGTACGGGTATAAAAAATATCATCAAACCATTTCTAAGCCCCAAATCTTTAAGAAAAAGTTGGTTTTGTTCCTTGAGGAAAAATCGTGTCGAGTAGTGTAATCATCTATGATATAAGTTCCGATGTTGTTTAGGGCAGCAGCGCGGTTAACAGCGCTCTGTTAGCTCGCGCGCTCTCCCATGCCCTTCGCTCTCGCGCGGCGTGGACGCGATCCACTCGGCGCTCCATCACGGGCGCTAGCCGTAGGCCGAGCGGGAGAGAACAGTCTCTCGACACCTACGCGCCTTTACACAACCGTCATCAACCCTCAGCTTGTACCAGCAAATACACGCCAATTACACTAGTCAACACGATTTTTCCTCAAGGAACAAAACGAACTTTTTCTTAAAGATTTGGGGCTTAGAAATGGTTTGATGATATTTTTTTTTTTTCTATGGCAGAACTTTTTATACCCGTACTCAAAAAAGAGTTAAGGGGTTTATTAGATTTGTGGTAAAAGTGGATGTGTGTAACGCAGAGAAGGAAACGTTTCCGACCCCATAAAGTATATATATTCTTGATCAGCATCAATAGCCGAGTCGATAGAGCCATGTCTGTCTGTCCGTCTTGTTTGACGCCTGGATCTCAGAGACTATAAGAGCTAGGGCAACCAAATTTGGTTTCCAGACTCATGTGATATCACACTGCTACAAGTGTATTTCAAAATTTCGCCCCGCCCCCTTCCGCCCACAAAGGACGAAAATCTGTGGAGGCACAGTTTTAAAGATACGATAAAACTAAAAACGCAGTATCGTAGAGAATGCCCATATCTACCAGATTGCCGAATCTGAATTAGATCGGATCATAATTATAGCCAGAATGAAGAAATTCATTTTCAGTTGCTACCCCTCCCCCTCCCGTTCCAAAAAACGCAACTCATTTTCCTTCTCGCTCGCACACTCTGCCGCGTTCAGTGCGCGAGCAACCCCTAGCGGAGGAGATGTAGAATCTAAATGGTACATGTACAATCTACATGTTAGATGTAGAATAGACATTGTAGATGAGAATGTAGATAACAAATGTAGCAAAAAAATGTAAAATGTAAAATTTGTTTTTTAATTCTAAAATTCTAAAAAATCATGCTCAAAAATGTATATACTGACTGAGTACGGGTATAAGTAGAGTCGTGTCCCCAGAAACGACTCACACGTTCCTTCTCGTTTTTAAAGAATTTTTGAAAACTGGTATTGTTTTTTTAAGCTTTTTTCAGAGGTAACGCTTGTTTTTTTCACATAACTCTAGTATCTTACGTCTGGTTGTAAAGAACTTAGCTATTTTGAAAAGATAATTGAAACAGCTAGAAGTTGATGCCAAACACTTTGTGATTTCAGCTTACCGTCTGGGAAATATAAAGCATTGAAATGCAAAAATTATGATTTTTGTGGGGTATTTTTTACGAAATTTTGACTTTAAAAACTCAGAAAAGTCGAAAAAAAATTATATCTGTGTCCTCTATTTTTTTGTGTATAGGTGCATTAATTTGGCGTCGTTCAAGGTATCGCTCATTAAAATCTATGGAGAGACTTTGGAGCTAAAATTCGTTAACCAAACCTAAAAAATGAAAAAAATGAACAAAAAATACCTTTTTGATGGTTGCGGGCCCAACTGCCAATTGGGAACAAAGCAAACGAACAAGGGTTGTACATTTGGTACCTGATCGCGTTCCTTTGTTCCCAATTGGCAGTATCTATCAGAAAAAGTCGGTTTGGATCCTTGAGGAAAAAAAAAGTTCGATTTTGTCGAGTAGTGTTATATTTGACGCCCCCGACTTTTTATTTACTGGGACATACGGTCTTTGGGAACATTCCAGCGAGCCTCCATCCACCCTCCTACAAACATTGGTCCTTCAAGCCGGATCTTCGCCTTCCCTATAAGGAGGAGTCCAACCTGCAAGCATCGGTGGATTAAATCGCTACGTTCCGAAGATAAGTACGATTTCGTCTTCCCAAATCGCTTCCTAGTGCGTTTTTTTGATTTATTCCCCACCCCGTCCGAGTTCCGCGATATATGTATATATATTCTTATATACATATCTGTGCATACAGTGCTATCCTTCTCTGTGCTTCCTTCTCTTTCGCCAACGCCATATTATCGGCGATTCCGGCCGTTCTCCGTTCCGTCGCCTCCAACTACCAGTGCTACGGTAGTTCTTCCATTTCGTTTTGTCTGGGCATGATTTATGAAAAATTAAATATATTCGACAAAATCCAACTGCACCCCAGTTCACTAAAACATATGTGCATTCCAATTCGCAAGAGCGGCTCCGCATCTCCAAAATAACATACAAATCAGAGAGCTGCAACGAGTAATTGTTTTTTGGGCAAACTCGAACACTTACTCAGAGTTTTTGTGAGTCAAACAATTTGGTTCAGCAGCATGAAGTGATTGGTTTGCACCGGTTTGAAACGAACGGGTAAAACCCAATCACTCAAGTAGGGCTGCAAAAACATCGATGTTAACATCGATGTCATCGATGTTTTTATAATTGTTCGATGCATCGATGTTTTTTTTGTATCATCGATGTTTCACTGCATTCACTGACATAAGGCATTTGTTTTGTTTTTCTCAATTTGGTTGGTGGTTCCTTCGGGTAAAATGGAAAAGTTTTTGCGCATAACAAGTTAGTAAGAGTCTCAGCAGTTGTGGCCTTATATTTCAATAATTGTATTGCGTTTCAGATAAAGACAGTGACAGTGTCTCTTCGTCTGCTGGTTCTTCGTCTGCTGGGTCTTCGTCTGCTGGTTCTTCGTCTGCTGGGTCTTCGTCTGATTTTGAGCCGCCTTGCAAGCGCAAAAAAAGCGCGTCCGAAGTATGGAAGCACTTTGAAAAGTGCAAGAACAAGATGTTTGCCAAATGTCGTCTTTGTGGAAAGGAATACAAAACGTCCGGAAATACGACAAACTTGTCGGATCACCTCAAACATGTGCATCCATTGAAGACAGCTGTGACTGCAGATAATTTGTCGAAAATAGACGATTTTGTAAGCCGTTCTGAGGCGTACGCTCCCACATCGACTAAAAAGACGGTGTTGGATAAAGGTCTTGCTCAAATGGTGGCATCAGATGTGCAACCATTCAGTATCGTGGACGGTGTGGGATTCCGCAATTTTGTACGCCTACTTGACCCGAAGTATGTCTTGCCCAGTAGAACAACACTGCAGCATGTACATACAAAAAATATGTATGACGAAACAGTTGTGAAATTGAAAAGCAAGCTGAATGCAATAGAACACTGCTCAATTACAACAGATTGTTGGACGTCCCGTGCCAATACGAACTTTATTACAGTAACGTGTCATTTTATTGACGATTTTAAATTAAAATCTGCTGTACTGGCTACACAGCCCCTTCTGAATGAATCGAATCACTGCAGTAATAATATCGCTGAAACAGTAAAGAACATTTGCGATGAATTTGTTGTTTTTGATAAAATTGAAACTGTTGTTACTGACAATGCAGCTTCAATGAAAAAGGCATGCGAATTGATGCAAAAAAAACACCTAGGCTGCTTTGCCCACTCCTTGAACTTGATTGTGCAAGAGTCACTGGCAATAAAGAATGTTCAATCAGTTTTAAAATGTGTAAAGAGTATTGTCACGTACTTCAAAAGCAGCTCGATTGCATATGCAAATTTAAAAAAAGCCCAAAATACTGCAAAGCCTTTAAGCCTGATTCAGGAAGTGCCTACGCGTTGGAACAGTGCATTCCACATGCTTAAGCGGGTCCTCCTTATTAGAGAGGCCATTTGCTCAGTTTTACTCACAACTTCGAAGGCACCATTGCCCTTGACAGAGGATCAGTTTTTATTGATTGAGGATATCTGTGCCATTTTAGAGCCATTCGAGACAGCAACCTTGAACACGTCGGCTTCAAAAACAGTAACTATATCCTTAATAATACCAACAACGCTTGGCTTATTAATAAAGTTAGATAACTTAAAGCCAAAAACGAAGACGATTGTGGGGGCTGAAACCTGTTCATTTTTAACAACAAAATTAAAAAGCAGACTGTCTCCATATGAAACCAGAACGGTTACACGGATGGCAACGATACTCGATCCGCGCTTTAAAAAGGAAGGATTTCATAACCCAGCTAATGCAGACCAAGCAGTGATAGCATTGGAAAACCACTTAGCATCTTTCATAAATGTGCAAAATCTATGTACAACCGAGGAACCGCCAACCAATACAAAAAACACAGACCTGTATAGTTTTGTGGCTGAAAAAGTGCAGCAGAAGCCAAAAAACAATAGGGCAAATGCAATAATAGAGTTGCGTCAATTTTTCGAGCAACGCAATGCATCCCAGGGAATAGATCCGCTTGAATATTGGAAGGTAAAACTATTTGTGCATTTATATTTTAGATATTATATATCATATCGTTAACTTTCAGATTAATGAAACACAATTTGGTTCTCTTGCGCAATGCGCAAATAAATATTTATCGGTTCCAGCAACCTCGACAGAGTCGGAGCGAGCCTTCAGCAAAGCTGGGGAAATCGTTAATGAAAAACGTGCAGCACTGAAGCCAAAGGCAGTAAACATTTTGTTATTTTTATCAAAGAACCAATGGCTAAGCGACGAATAGATCTCAACCAAAAATTAATAGTTTTAAGAAATGAGTCAGTATTATTGTTTTTTTTTTTAAGAAATTGATTTTTTGTTTTTGCTAATTATAAGAAATGAAGCTGAATTTATGAAATTGGGTTTTGCTGTTGTTTTTACAAATTTCTAAGAAATTTTTATATTTTTTAACAATTTTCGATGTTGAAAACATCGATGTTGAAAACATCGATGTTTTAAAACATCGATGTTAAAATCATCGATGTTTCCACCATCGATGATTTTGCAGCTCTACACTCAAGGAATATATCATACGTGATTGCATATGAGCGTTCGTTTTGGTTCAGTCTGAACGTCTGATCGAACATGCTTTTCACAATCAAGCTTGTTCGAGACTGACTGTCCGTTTGTGCTCGTGCGCCACCCAACACCACCCAACGTCGGGTTAAACCAGCCAAAGCGACGCTTCGGGTTTATGTACGGCTCCATTTTGCATTGGAGTGAAAATTTTTTGTGTCAACACCTGCATCAATTTTCGGTGGTAGATTTTTATCAAAATATACGATTCATAATGGAAATTAGTTCAAAAACTGTGTCTGAACAAATTGCGAATGGCACCTACACTCTGACTGGTCGTCGCAAGGGCCGAAGTTTTGTTTGGAATATTATATCCGAAATTCTAATGCCGGACAATTCCGTACTGCGGGGCTTCGTATTCTGCCGCACGTGTGCAAGTGTGTTAAAATACACAGCAAGTCAGACATCGAATTTAAACAGACACATCTGCTGCAAGAACCTCAAGCAGTCACGTAATTTCAAAACCGTCTCAGCGTTGGACAAAAGTGAGGCAGTTGAGAAATGCACATCGTGGGTCACTGAAGACTGCCGCCCATTTTCGGCTGTCCAGGGTCCTGGCTTCATTAAAATGGTGCAGTTTTTTATCAAGATTGGGTCAACTTATGGTGAACACGTCGATGTGGAAGATTTGTTGCCGGATCCAACAACAATTTCCCGAAAAGTAAAAAAGTACGCAAATGAAAAAAAACAGGAGCTTAAAGACGAAATAAGTGGCATTGTTAGCAGCGGTGGAGCATCAGCTACAATCGACATGTGGACGGACAACTACGTGAAGCGCAACTTCTTAGGAGTTACATTCCACTACCAAAAAGACACAAAATTTGTTGACATGGTTTTGGGAATGAAATCAATGGATTTTACAAGGTCCACCGGTAAAAACATTTCTGAAAAGCTGAAAAGTGTTTTTAATGAGTTTGGAGTGCATTCTATTGAAAAAATTAAATTTATTACTGACGGGGAACTAATATGATTAAGGCATTAGAAGGGAACACACGCCTTAACTGTAGTAGCCATTTATTTTCGAACGTTTTGGAGAAATCGTTTGCTACCACCCCAGAGCTTACAGATGTTTTAGAGTCGTCAAAAAAAATTGTCAAATATTTTAAAAAGGCTAATTTGCAGCATCTCCTACAAACTTCTCTAAAAAGCGAATGTCCAACACGCTGGAACTCGCAATATAGAATGTTAAAGTCCATAATTGATAATTGGGGAGAAATAAATAATATTTTGAAAAATAATGAGCAAAGCCAACGATTGCTACATATAAATATAACCACTGTCAAAGCCCTTGTAGATTTGTGCGAGAATTTTGAAATTATTTTTAAGAAATTGCAACTTTGTAGTTCTCCATCGCTTTGCTATGTTTTGCCATCTATTCTAAAAATTAAAAGCCTTTGTATGACAAACACTGAAGATATATCTGCAATATCCATTTTAAAGGAAACTATTATTCAAAACATTGAGGATATATGGATAGCTAATTTAAGTTTGTGGCATAAAGCTGCATTTTTTTTATACCCACCAGCGTTAAGTATGCAGCCAAATGAAATTGAGGAAATTAAAAACTTTTGCATTTCTCATATTCTTGATAATGGTAATTTAGCAAATATTAAAGAACGGGACTCTTCAAGCTCACCTTCATTTGCGGCATCGCAGGTTTCTTTTGATTCGAGTAGTGACCTTTTTAATCAAAGTAATTTTGATTTAAGCGGCCAAGTATCATCTGATAAAGAAACTGACGCTTTCTTTTTTGAAAATTTAATAAATCAACCTGTTTCAAAAATCATAGAAATGCCGGAAGAAGAAATAGAAAGATATTGCAAGGAAAAAGTGAATATGAATGCAAATTTTAATTTGATGGAGTGGTGGCAAAACAATCAAAAGAAATACCCCTATTTATCAAAACTAGCTTTTGAAATTCACTCAATGCCAGCTAGCAGTGCAGCGGCTGAGCGCTCGTTTTCTTTGGCGGGCAATATTATAACAGAAAAACGTAATAGACTAGATCCAGGTTCGGTTGACAGCTTACTTTTCTTAAATTCCTTTCTTAAAAATTTTAATTCCTAAATGTACATATATAATTTAAATTTCTATATATATCTAGATATTTTGATCTCATAAAATTTTGTATATGTTAATTTCTGTTATTTTCTATAATTTTGTTTTTTAGTTTTGATTTGTATATTTTTATAACATAATTGAAATAAAATGTTTATTTTCTAACTTCATTCCCATTTAAAATTTATTTTGATTTTTAATCAACTCGAGTTTTTTGGCTTCACTCCCAGTAAATTCATGTGCAAGAAACCCAAGGTCAAATATGTTATTTCTTTTCGGGACTTCGTCCACTTCGGTAACAATCATACATGCGTCCCATACCCGAAGGTTTAATCAAGCCTTTGAACGAAAACGCATTGAACCGGTGAACGGAAAATACCCGAAACTTCATTGTGTGTTCGAACCTGCCCGAACCCGAAAACTTGGCTTCGACTGAGTAAACCCGAACGAACATATTTCTGCTGAGCGTTTGAGTTGAGTTGAAAATAATTTTTTTAAGGGGTATCGAACAGGCTCGACCATACTCATTGCCGTTCTCTGATACAAATATATATATACATCCATAAATACATACACATACATACATACATCCAAGTGCTAACATATTAAAAACCCACTCAACAATTATTAAGTGTTTTTATTCCGACATCTACATATATACACATATTATTTCCATAGTTGGCTGCAATAGATCGATCTATATCTATATCGTTAGAGCCATACCACTAACCATACAGTATATAGATGTGCCAGTTCATACAACGAAAGGGGCGCAGCTGAGTTTGCAGCGTACGTTCCCAGATCTTTGGCTTTGGGAATGGCCGCGTTGGGCTCATGACGTCACACGAGCCGACTGGCAGCAAGCATGCATGTGTTGTGTACGTGTACACTCCAAAATATATGATTGTATGCATAGAATAATTTTTAGCTGCCGAAACCGACTTTGTTCGAGATTTCAGTTTACGTAAACGTGTGTGTGCCATGTATTCACACATATTTTCTTGGTGTGTTCTGTAGCTCGACTCGACGCGGGTTGAGGCATTGACGAAGCGGTTCATAAAATATTTTTTCGTTTTGTTTTGAAAAGCTGATGTTGCGACGGGCGCGCGGTTCTCTTTTAGGCTAGCCTTTGCCTCTGCTTTCGGCTTCGTCAACAGAAAGCGACAATACACCAAGAAAATATGAAGTCTTACGACTGGAATAGGTCCAGGGCCGGATTAGCAGTTGCCTAGGGCCCCCTAGGGATAACAGAAAAATTTTGTTAAAAAAACAGAACTCCAAATAATGAATAAAAAATATAATAGCCACTGAGAAAAATACAAAATAAAGGAGGGCCCCAGATTGATGGTTGCCCAGGGCCCGGTTGAGGGTTGATGCGGCCCTGAATAGGTCGCTACATCACATCAGCCCTCAAAACAAAATGAAAAACCAATTCAAGCGGCCAAAAATTGTAGAGCCCACACACAAGCACAGTATGTGTGAATACATGGCACACACACGTTTACGTAAACTGAAATCTCGAACAAAGTCGGTTTCGGCAGCTAAAAATTATTCTATGCATACAATCATATATTTTGGAGTGTCACGTACACAACACATGCATGCTTGCTGCCAGTCGGCTCGTGTGACGTCATGAGCCCAACGCGGCCATTCCCAAAGCCAAAGATCTGGGAACGTACGCTGCAAACTCAGCTGCGCCCCTTTCGTTGTATGAACTGGCACATCTATATACTGTATGGTTAGTGGCAGGAGCACGAGACACTAAATACCGTGGCCACATTGTATGAGGAGAAAACACGACTGCAGCTGCGCATTGTGAAAATGGAAAAGGAATTGGGCGCAGTGAAACAAAATTTGGCCAAAACCTATTCGCAGCTACAGCAGAAAATTAATCCGTTTATAGCCAAACAGTATGCGCTGCGCCTGGAGCTGGATCGGCACAAAGGCCTCTTGGTAGCTGCCCAAACGGAGGTGGATCGGTTGACCCAACTGCACGCAGAGACGCAGGCAGGCGAAATGAGAGCCAGAGAACTGCAGATGTGGACAAGGCAAAGCTCTTCGATGTCAAGCTGCAACTCGACGATTCCCTCACGCTGCAGAGCCTCTGCGCCCGCACCACAACTGTGGACATTTCCACCACCCAACAGAGTGTGCCCAGCGGACTCAAGCGGAATGCCGATCAATATATGGCGTTTATCAAGCTGCATGAAAAGCAGGGCGCCAGTAGTGATGCCATGCCCACCCATTCCAACAAGAAACATTTTTGCTGAATTTGCAATTATTTTTGATTTTGGCTTAGATTAAATCAGCCAACCATTGGCTGATCAGAGATCAATGTCTTTTCTTGTATTGAGTGCAGCTTAGTCTTCAGTCGAGAGGTATAGCAGGCCGGCTACTAGGCCCAGTCCGATATATCGTGGGGCCACGCTTAAGTAAGCTTATCGGCTACAAGTATGCACCAATATCTCAAGGATTGTAGCCACAGCCACAGCCCAAGCTCAGGCTCAGACCATTAAGGGCGGGCAGAAGTGCAAGGGCTCTGGCACGGGCACAGACACGGGCTCGGAGTCATTGCCAAGATGCTCGACAGAAATTAAATGTCGCTCAAATGAAAGGAAAATCATTGCCAGCTGCTTCGGAAATGGATACTGCAATAAATATGTCTAGGAGGCTGAGGCTGCTCTTGTGACTGAGGTTGGTCCTTCCTCTTCAGTCAGTTTCATTCAATCAGAGTCCTCAGAACGACGAAAACCTCGAATCGAAGTGTCTGTCTAGCTGCTTGCAACAGAGAATCAATTTACATATGCGGCTAGAGCACACTGTGGATTGTGTTGGGACAGGGACAAAGTAGAATCAGCATGCGGCCGTTATATCTCGCTCACTCCGCCAGGTGGCGAACGCACACTGATCAGGGAAGAGCGAAAGAGATAGCAGGCGCTGTGAGCGTCGGAGATTCAGACACTGGAATTCATTTTCTTTTATTCAAATCTAATCCGCATATATAACGTAATCCTGGCACCTGCATGGAGGTATGGCATCCAGGTCTATGGTATCGCAGCGAAAACGAACCTGGACAAGATCAGGGTGTTTCAGAACAAGACCCCCCGAAATATCTGTGGTGCTGAATGGTATGTCCGTAATAGAGACATCGCCAAAGACCTTGAAGTCCCCTCAGTCGGTGCCATTATTAACGAACAAGCCACAAGATACTTGACCAAACTAAGGAGCCACCCGAACGTCCTCGCTAGAAGATTGGTTGGGAGCAGAACCAGGCGAAGGTTAAACCGCATCCATCCGTCCGAGTTGGCCACCAGGAACTTATAAATTATTGTTGCACAATGTCCGTTTTCGTCCGTTTTCGTCCTTTTTCGTCCGTTTGCGTCCGTTGGTCCCGCATTTAACTTAAAATAGTAAATTGTAAATATAAATTTCCTTGACCCTTAACAAAAGTTGCTAATAACAGAAACAGTACGTTAAGTATTTGTCTGTGATAATTGCTTACAATGAACCCAAAAAAAATAAAAAAATAAAAAAAAAGATCCAAATCACACGCTTACTTGGCTACACTTTTTGTACGTTTAGCAGAGGAAACCCAGCAGGCTGGCCAGTAGCCTTGAGCAACAAATTCGACTGGGAATATTCAGTTAGTCAGATTCGTTGACCGAATCCACAACCTAGAGTCTACAAAATTGAAGTCTACAAGTACAAAATTGAAGTCTACAAGTACAAAATGGAAGCCTACAAGTACAAAATTGAATTGGTACGAAATAAATTTAAAATAAGATTAAATTCGTATTAAATAATTTCAACACTTTCGTAGCAAATGAGCGACACGAGCGGACAACCGGGCAAGAGTCCGGCACCCGAGGCTAAGCCAGAAGGCAGGGAGTTTCTGGATGAAGGGTCCAAGGAGGATCTACTGGCGGACACGCAGGTGATACGCCGGAGTCTGGAGAGCCAACTCGATAAACTGCGCGAGGAGAAGAGGTGGGCGGAGCAGTGCAATACCCAGCTTAAGATCGACCTCGATAAAATCAAAAAGCGATACAACGCCCTGGAGTCGGACTTTGAGGCCATGGTGTTGGAGAAGGAGCTCAAGATACATTCGCTCGAACTGGCCCAGATTCGATGCCAGCAGCTGGAGCCAGAGAACGTGAGCCAGCAGCAGTACATCACGCAGCTGGAGGCCAGGCAGGCGACCTTGGAGAACACCAATGCCCAGCTGAATAGGCACTTGAATGACATCGTGGCTGAGATGAGTTCGTTCAAAGATATTTTACTCAAGAATAATAAGTCTCGCGTGGGTTTTTTTTGTCGAGATAATACTGTCACGCTGAAAAAGCAACTGGAAGGGCGGGACAAGGAGATGCACCTGCTGATTGAGCAGGAGCACGAGACACTAAATACCGTGGCCACATTGTATGAGGAGAAAACACGACTGCAGCTGCGCATTGTGAAAATGGAAAAGGAATTGGGCGCAGTGAAACAAAATTTGGCCAAAACCTATTCGCAGCTACAGCAGAAAATTAATCCGTTTATAGCCAAACAGTATGCGCTGCGCCTGGAGCTGGATCGGCACAAAGGCCTCTTGGTAGCTGCCCAAACGGAGGTGGATCGGTTGACCCAACTGCACGCAGAGACGCAGGCAGGCGAAATGAGAGCCAGAGAACTGCAGATGTGGACAAGGCAAAGCTCTTCGATGTCAAGCTGCAACTCGACGATTCCCTCACGCTGCAGAGCCTCTGCGCCCGCACCCCAACTGTGGACATTTCCACCACCCAACAGAGTGTGCCCAGCGGACTCAAGCGGAATGCCGATCAATATATGGCGTTTATCAAGCTGCATGAAAAGCAGGGCGCCAGTAGTGATGCCATGCCCACCCATTCCAACAAGAAACATTTTTGCTGAATTTGCAATTATTTTTGATTTTGGCTTAGATTAAATCAGCCAACCATTGGCTGATCAGAGATCAATGTCTTTTCTTGTATTGAGTGCAGCTTAGTCTTCAGTCGAGAGGTATAGCAGGCCGGCTACTAGGCCCAGTCCGATATATCGTGGGGCCACGCTTAAGTGAGCTTATCGGCTACAAGTATGCACCAATATCTCAAGGATTGTAGCCACAGCCACAGCCCAAGCTCAGGCTCAGACCATTAAGGGCGGGCAAAAGTGCAAGGGCTCTGGCACGGGCACAGACACGGGCTCGGAGTCATTGCCAAGATGCTCGACAGAAATTAAATGTCTCTCAAATGAAAGGAAAATCATTGCCAGCTGCTTCGGAAATGGATACTGCAATAAATATGTCTAGGAGGCTGAGGCTGCTCTTGTGACTGAGGTTGGTCCTTCCTCTTCAGTCAGTTTCATTCAATCAGAGTCCTCAGAACGACGAAAACCTCGAATCGAAGTGTCTGTCTAGCTGCTTGCAACAGAGAATCAATTTACATATGCGGGCAGAGCACACTGTGGATTGTGTTGGGACAGGGACAAAGTAGAATCAGCATGCGGCCGTTATATCTCGCTCACTCCGCCAGGTGGCGCACGCACACTGATCAGGGAAGAGCGAAAGAGATAGCAGGCGCTGTGAGCGTCGGAGATTCAGACACTGGAATTCATTTTCTTTTATTCAAATCTAATCCGCATATATAACGTGATCCTGGCACCTGCATGGAGGTATGGCATCCAGGTCTATGGTATCGCAGCGAAAACGAACCTGGACAAGATCAGGGTGTTTCAGAACAAGACCCCCCGAAATATCTGTGGTGCTGAATGGTATGTCCGTAATAGAGACATCGCCAAAGACCTTGAAGTCCCCTCAGTCGGTGCCATTATTAACGAACAAGCCACAAGATACTTGACCAAACTAAGGAGCCACCCGAACGTCCTCGCTAGAAGATTGGTAGGGAGCAGAACCAGGCGAAGGTTAAACCGCATCCATCCGTCCGAGTTGGCCACCAGGAACTTATAAATTATTGTTGCACAATGTCCGTTTTCGTCCGTTTTCGTCCGTTGGTCCCGCATTTAACTTAAAATAGTAAATTGTAAATATAAATTTCCTTGACCCTTAACAAAAGTTGCTAATAACAGAAACAGTACGTTAAGTATTTGTCTGTGATAATTGCTTACAATGAACCCAAAAAAAATAAAAAAATAAAAAAAAAAGATCCAAATCACACGCTTACTTGGCTACACTTTTTGTACGTTTAGCAGAGGAAACCCAGCAGGCTGGCCAGTAGCCTTGAGCAACAAATTCGACTGGGAATATTCAGTTAGTCAGATTCGTTGACCGAATCCACAACCTAGAGTCTACAAAATTGAAGTCTACAAGTACAAAATGGAAGCCTACAAGTACAAAATTGAATTGGTACGAAATAAATTTAAAATAAGATTAAATTCGTATTAAATAATTTCAACACTTTCGTAGCAAATGAGCGACACGAGCGGACAACCGGGCAAGAGTCCGGCACCCGAGGCTAAGCCAGAAGGCAGGGAGTTTCTGGATGAAGGGTCCAAGGAGGATCTACTGGCGGACACGCAGGTGATACGCCGGAGTCTGGAGAGCCAACTCGATAAACTGCGCGAGGAGAAGAGGTGGGCGGAGCAGTGCAATACCCAGCTTAAGATCGACCTCGATAAAATCAAAAAGCGATACAACGCCCTGGAGTCGGACTTTGAGGCCATGGTGTTGGAGAAGGAGCTCAAGATACATTCGCTCGAACTGGCCCAGATTCGATGCCAGCAGCTGGAGCCAGAGAACGTGAGCCAGCAGCAGTACATCACGCAGCTGGAGGCCAGGCAGTCGACCTTGGAGAACACCAATGCCCAGCTGAATAGGCACTTGAATGACATCGTGGCTGAGATGAGTTCGTTCAAAGATATTTTACTCAAGAATAATAAGTCTCGCGTGGGTTTTTTTTGTCGAGATGATACTGTCACGCTGAAAAAGCAACTGGAAGGGCGGGACAAGGAGATGCACCTGCTGATTGAGCAGGAGCACGAGACACTAAATACCGTGGCCACATTGTATGAGGAGAAAACACGACTGCAGCTGCGCATTGTGAAAATGGAAAAGAAATGGGGCGCAGTGAAACAAAATATTTGTCCAAAAGCTATTTGCAGCTACAGCAGAATATTCATCCGTTTATAGCCAAACAGTATGCGCTGCGCCTGGAGCTGGATCGGCACAAAGGCCTCTTGGTAGCTGCCCAAACGGAGGTGGATCGGTTGACCCAACTGCACGCAGAGACGCAGGCAGGCGAAATGAGAGCCAGAGAACTGCAGATGTGGACAAGGCAAAGCTCTTCGATGTCAAGCTGCAACTCGACGATTCCCTCACGCTGCAGAGCCTCTGCGCCCGCACCCCAACTGTGGACATTTCCACCACCCAACAGAGTGTGCCCAGCGGACTCAAGCGGAATGCCGATCAATATATGGCGTTTATCAAGCAGCAGGAAAAGCAGGGCGCCAGTAGTGATGCCACGCCCACCCATTCGAACAAGAAACATTTTTGCTGAATTTTCAATTATTTTTGGTTTTTGCTTAGATTAAATCAGCCACCATTGGCTGATCAGAGTTCAATGTCTTTTCTTGTATTGAGTGCAGCTCAGTCTTCAGTCGACAGGTATAGCAGGCAGGCTCGGCCTAGTCCGATATATCGTGGGGCCACGCTTAAGTAAGCTTTTCGGCTACGAGTATGCACCATTATCTCAAGGATTATCGGAGTATTAGCCAACCGTTCCCTATTCCCTACCAGCTATGAATTCCTTTCCTTGAATTCAAGCACTGGCAGCAACAGCAACGATGCTGCTGCAACTGTAGTCATAACTGGCTAGCACAACTGTAGTTGTGTAGTCCCAAGTCCACGCCAGCGAATGCCACTGTGCAAGCGTCGCACTTGCCGGCTCCAGCCCCAGCCCCAGTCGCAGTGCCAGTGGCAGTTACACCGCCTGTGGCGGAGGCTGTGCCCAAGCCAGAAGTAGTCGCCACTAGTGATGCCCAAGATGTGGAATTCGGTCAGCCAGGCCAGCCGCTTCGTCAGTTCGATGTGTGCCAAAAGTGCAGAAAAATGGAAGTGAAGCGTGGCTCTGGTCACAAGAGTAATTTTCTCGCATGTAAGAGTTGCCAGCAAAAATGTAAGTGCCCCCGCCATCCAACTCAATGCTCGCCTGCACACTTTCCTACATCTATGTATTTGTTTATGCATTTCCAGGGCATTTTAACTGCCTTCCGCTGAAATGTGATGTCCTGGCCGTTGCACGCAAGAAATACAAGTTCCCGGCTTGCCGCTACTGCCGCGTTTGCGGTACTAAGGGTGAAGATCTGGCCATCTGCTCTGAGTGCGTATATTCCTACCACCGCGATTGCCATGATCCGCCATTGGCCGCCTCTAGTCTTGGCGAGAGCCAGTGGAAATGCCACGGCTGCGAGTTCGGCACTAACAACCATAACAACTATTCGGCCAGTCGGATCCCGCTGGTCAGGAGCAGTCGCCACCAGCCAAGCAGGCAAAACTTCAGCAAGAATCGAAGGAGCAGTCAACAAAAGCAGACGCAGACTCAGTCTCAGTCGCCGCCACAGCCCTAGATCCAGCCACCAAGAATGGTGAACCAAAGGAAGAGGAAAAACTCAAAAAGAGAAAATCGAGGGCAAGGGCGAGTGAGGGCGAGAAAAATCGTATGTCTACGGATGAACTGTCAATGTGTCAATGGAGCCTTTTGTAGTAGAGGAGATCAACGAGGAGACCAACGAAGAGCCAGAAATAAATCTGGATGAACCTGTACAAGAACAATTTGATGTAAATGGGCCAGAAAATCAGGCCGAAGGAGCTCTCCCCGAGGGAGAGTCAGAAATGCCGCTGGAGAACATGGACTAGCAGCCATTGGAAGCGACGGTGCCCACTGCCAGCCATGATGATGAAATCATTGTTGTCATTGTTCAGCTGCCACCAGAACGACCAACGGATGCAGAATTTGTTTTATTTGTTTTTTTCGGATGAACACGAAAAGTCTCCAAATTTTTAGTTACATAAATGTTCGCGTTTATTAGGTTTTGTTCTCAACTCAAAGACAATAATTTTTGTGTACGAAAATGTTTTCGATACAGAAATGATGATACTGTCTTTCTCTAGTCAGAAGTAGAACAATTTCCTACATCGTTTCTGGAATATTCCCTGAAGGAAATATAATTTAAATGTACATTTAGCGTAGCCTCTGCAGGATTTCTGAAAATGTATAAAACTACACAAGCTAAATTTAAATTTTGGAAAAGGATAGATATTTCCCTCTAGAGGAATTCTGAATATGTAAACCACGAATCGTGAAGAAAATTTAAGTTAAATATAAATTAAATGCAAAGAAAGAAGAAGTTAAGAAGTTAATTTTGTCTTTAAGAACTCCAAAAATGTATAAAACAAAGTCTTAAGGCTTTTCCGATTTAATAAACGTTAAGATATTTACCTGTCCAGAAACTCAAAAAAGGTATAAATCGAATCCCAAAAGGAATGAATTGTATTCTCACAACGAATCCTGAATTAATTTTTATTTAAATCTAAATTTAATTAAAGGAAAGAAATGTACCCTCCCAGGAATTCTGAAGTAATTGAATAAAGTCATAAGCTGCCTCTAATACAGGCAAAGTGAAGAGCGAGCCGATCGGTGCGTGGTGGGGCCTGTGCATGGCCCAACAGTCGGTTGCATGGAGGAGGGGCGTTTGGTTTGTGGCTAGATGCGGTGGGGCGCGTCCTGCGGTTGTCGTATCGTATCCTGTCTGAGTATGTCCTATAATGTGTCTGTGTGTGTAATCAATTATGCTTTTTATGTCAAACGCCATGAGCGAATGATCCAGCGAAAGCAGGAGTGACAGAGAGAGAGAGAGAGACAAGGAGGCGTGGTAAAATGGCAAAGTGTGTCCATGAAGCGGCACAAACATTAGCATCAACAACAAGCTGCCCCTCCCCACAGTTCCTGTCATCATTCAAAATTTAAGGTTAATTTCATTTGACAATTTTCGAACGACATGAAATCACAAGAAATTAATAAACACAAATATAGAATCTGAATCAGAATCCGAATCAGTATCCGCGCATCAGTGAATATTTTGTCACCATAGGACTACAATATTTGCCTGTTCAATTTCATTTCATTTCATTTGAAATTACTTTTATTAGCTCATTTGCATATCCGACAGTTGCTCTCTGTCTCCGTCTCCGTTTCCGTCTCTCCTCTCTGTCGCTGTGCCTCTGTGTTTCTATCAGCACTATTTGGCCTTGGCTTTTGGGGGCCATCATCAGCATCCTCAGAGCCATTGCCATTGCCATCTTAGCCGTCTTCTATATCATCATCATTGTCATCATCTTTTGTCGTCCGCCTTGGCTCTTTATCCTCGGTTCCTAATTCCTCAACGCCGCGCTTAACGTCCATTCATCTTCATCTTCTTCATGGCTTCTAAGCTTCGCCCCTTTGTTGGGCTCTTTTTCTCTCATTGGCACTCGCCCTCCTTGCACTCTTTCCATATTGTTCGCCACAGTATGTGTTTTAGGCAAAAGTGTCGAACCTTTCAACGTTTCAATGCTTAAAATTTCAGCAAATATTTTGTCTACTTTGAGAAGATTGCATTGGTTGAGGGATGCTCCCATATCCCCTCCCAGAGAGGGTAAGAGGTAAAAGAGGATAAGTGGGCTTTGGGTGGACAATCTCACATGGCTAGGCTCTGCCAGCGCCGCCTGCCAGTGCATAGTTTACACATACACACACATCAGTATACAACGGTTTCATTTCCCCACTTCGTTTTGTCATGTGCCAGCTGCCCCAATCAACGCCCTACCCTGAACTATTAGCCTCGTTAACAGAAATTAGCACACATACATAGACAGGAAGCACACACAAACAGAAAACTGGGAAGAGAGAAACGCACACCCAACCCACCAGCCCCCCACTCATTGAGATGAGATGCCCGCATAGGAAAGGCTTCTCAATTTACAATTATCCATGAGGAAGTGACTGAAGCGTCAAAGATAATTTGTCAGATCTGGACAGGAGTTTTCTACTCTATCAGAAATGGCTTGCACAAGAATATAAATTAAAAAAGTATTCTTTGGGGATACGGAGAGCTTCTTTATCCGCAAAGCTACAACCATCGGCCATCGTTAAAGTGGCTTTAGAATTGTTTGGAAAATTGATAATCGAAACATAGCTATCAGCCCGAAGTCGCTGCATATATTGAGCGTATACAATTGGTATTATAAATAGAAACTGGTGATTAGATAAAAATATGAGAAGTATAAGAGAAGTGCGTATCATGTAGTATGTGTCATATGGCACCAGCTGCTCAGGAACTGCCAAGAGACATTTTCCATGGGCCGGGAGTACAATGTTTGAAAACAATATATTTTCAAATATTTATCAGAATTTCTAGGCTAGACCCAATTTCTTTAACGAACCGGCACTTGAACCGGTTCAAAGAACCGTTTTTCCATATTCGTTTCACTCGCAGCCAGCTTTATGCCTTTGACTTGCCCCGGGGCGGGGCATTGTTAAGCTCCTTTAACAAGCGAAAGGCAAACGAGAAGCGAGAAAACGCGCTCCATGCTGGCCAAGGAGTAGGATGGATTCTTTTGGCGAATCCTTTCTTGTATGCATTGTTTGACTGGGATTGGGATTGGGACTGGGACTGGGTTGGTGGTGGCGCTGGCAATGGCGTTGGCGAGGGTGGTGGAGGAGCTGGTGCTGGTGCTGGGGCTGGTGCTAGTGTTGGTAATCAATACCGCTATGACACATGACGCGGCCACAAGCTGTGAATTGCTGCAGAAACATAGACCACATTTTTGGATTTTATATGCATTGAAAGATCTAATGAATGGCGTAAAATAATGTCGTAGTGGTCATGGTGTAATTACATAATAATAAAATAAATTACTCAATTTTATTGATTTAATTTAATTTCTTGCATTCTTTGGTGCCAATTAGAGACACAGACACCCCATTTACTGCCATTAATTGAATAGTATATGCCGCCTCTTAGTCAGCCACAGTTTTATGTTGCCTTGATTTCCGTTCATTCGAAGACTCTTGAAATTGAGAGGAAAAGAAGGTCACTTCTGCGTAAAGACTCCTCATTTGGGCCTTTATGGGTTTGTCAAGATTGCCCGTCGAATGAGGCGAATAAAGCTTATTTGCTGTGAGTCGCAAATTTCCCATAACCGTAGGGACTTTATTAAAACGGGGACTTTTACACTTTTACACCTGTACTCAGTCAGTATATATGTGGGGGTTTTGGTTTAATATTAAGTTTAATAAATGATGAAATATAGTATTTAGTACAAGAAATATAATTTAAGCGTCGTTCGTCGTCTGGTCTCTTTCCACAACCCTCTCACGTCGGCAGCTGGATCGAAACTCCCTCGGCCTCTCTCTTCTCGATCTGCTTTGTGCAGATGTCTTAATTCGCCATCGGTCGTGATTGCTGTTGTGCTTTGGGAATTCGCTTGGGAGCGAATTCGCTCACGCTCGTTTTGTCTAGGGATTTGCAAAACACAACCCACATCCGGCCGTCCTGACTATGCACTCGCCTCCAATGCATCGTCGCTTTCGTCGTCGTTGCTCGTGGACCATGGCTTTAGATACTCCGCACACGAAGAAGAGTGCTTAGGCCCATCGGAATTGCCAACTTTTTTGACGTCGTAAGCATTGTTAGGTTTCACCTTGATGATCTGGTACGGACCCAAAAACTTCGATTTTAGTTTGAGTCCGCTACCAAACTGAGTCCTCTTTATGGCAACTAGGTCGCAAACGTCATACTGCCTGGCTGCTTTACGTCGCAGGTTATATGTCATCTTGTTCTCGTCTTGCAGATTCAGAATTTGAGTCTTTGCTTTTGCCCGTAGCTCATTAGGGTCGTCTTCAAATGCAATGATGGACTCTTTCTGGATCAAACTCTGAAGCTGCTGGTCATCTTTGGTGCGCATCTTGACACCCATCAAAAGTTCGAAAGGTGTGGTATCGATGCTTCTGGTGTATGTTGAGTTTATTGCTCGCTGGACTCGATCTACGTGCTTAAACCATTTCGAAGGGTCGTCTATACTGAGCTTGGCAAGCACGGAGATGATGTTGAGCCTTTCCACCTGTCCGTTTACCCGTGGAAGTCCTGTAGTCGTCTTTACCAGTTTGATGTTTTCGTCTTCGCAATACTGCAGGAAGTCTTGGGCGGTAAATGCTGAGCCTCTATCTGAAATGATACAAGCAGGGTTGACGTCACGCTTTGGCTGCGTAGCTTTAATATGACCTCGTTAGATGTAGTTGACTTTGTAGGGTATAACCAGCAAAACTTCGTGAAAGCGTCGATAACAGCTAGTATATATTTTAAGCTCTTGCTGGTTGATTCTAGTGGATCCAAAAAGTCAATGTGGCACGTCTGCAGCGGCACGTCATCTTTTTGCAGGGGGTGCTAAAGACCTATTTGTTTACCTCGCTTGCGATTGATTAATATGCAAGGTATATATGCAGTCGATGTACTTCTTGATTTTGTCGTCTAAATTTGGTATGTAGTACTCCTTGCAGATTAGCTCCTTCGTCTTCTTGATAGCAAAGTGGCCTCTATCGTGAGCCTTGCAGATGATAGCATATCATCTGCATATCCTTGGAACCACCATCAATTCAGCATCTTTGACTAATTTGTAAAGAATTCCGGACTTTATGAAGTAGTCGTCGTATTGTTGATTGTAATCGCTGATGAGCTTCATGATCGTCTTCAAATGTTCGTCTTGTTTTTGCGCCTGTTCTATGCCAGCTAAAATGCTTCGGTCACTTATGTGCATAACGGGATATCGTGAGAGTGCGTCCACGTGACGCATTCGGGATCCTGCACGATG